AATGATCGTGGTGATACTAGCACATCAGGGCTTTCCGTGGTTTCCGACCTCTCAACTCTATCCAGCAAGCTGTGTGATCTTATTGTTATGACACTGATTGGAGTCAGATCGGGGACCTTGTTCCCTTAATCTCACATAAGAGTGTAAAACGGGATTTTTGCTATTCCTAGTAGAACAGGTGTTTGGAGCTCGGAGCACATCAGGGCTTGTACTGGTTTTCTCCGAAGTTTACACTGCTAGGGCTAGCATACTACTGTTAGAAGTGCTGGGCCCATGATGAAACTACTATTTCTAGTAATCATAATTGCTCAACCTTGTACGTTCATGCATGAAATTTTAAACTAGTGTGCAGACTTAACTTATAAGGGGATATTAGTAAGCTCAAGGTTAAACAAATATATAAGATCCATCATGCATTTAGGTCGGAACAAAATGACATGTGCCCTTTTTCCGGATACTTCTGTCAGAAGCGCTGTGCCTATGTTTAGAATGAAAGTTATAGTAATCACACTTGGTAAAGCCAGTAGGTGGCAACGTAGATGGTATGGCGTGAAAAAAGTCTATGTCAATACTAGGCAAATGTTCGCCAAATCCTTTTGTAAATGCTTACTTTGTTTTGGAAAAAAGGCAACTGCAAATCTGCCGTTATCTCGAAATACAAACCCAAAGAGGGTAATCAGAGACTCGCATGCATATATACGCACGCAAAATACCTGGGTTCAGCATCCAGATAAATAAATCACACCTCGAAGCACGTTTTTTTGTTTACCGTACACAGACCTAGAAGACTATTTAGTAAACAAGCCCTTTATAAATTTGCAAACTCAATGCACCACCATGTTTAGTAAAAAACAAGTTTGTAATTTGTGCAATTTTGTCACGGAATATAAAACAATATAAATAGAAGTATCCATTATAAGTAAAAATTACATTTCGATGACAACATACGTCTGCGTCTGCAAAACAGGCATAGATGTAGTTAAAATATACCGAAGAGCATCGCCCTCCTGCACAGTTCCCATCAGAGGGCCTGAGTTATCATTTGTTTTTGGGCGGATAGGGGGGCGGGGAGGAGATCAAAAATACGTTTGGATTATGCCTTAAATCCGTAGTTACAGACGGGGGACAAACGAAGTATGTCATAATTGTAAACCGAAAAAT